TGTTTGTTAGATTACTAGAAATTGTCTTCCATTCCCCTCCGTAAAGTTTTATAAGGTTCAGTAACTTATTTTCCTCATCTTTCGTCCATTGCATTGCTTTTGTTTTATTTTCGAATGTGCAAAGTTCATTAAAATCCTGACGATGCCAATCAACATATGATCTGATCGATGCGCATGTCCTTCCCGGAATAAATTTCGAGATTCTATGGTAATCCACACCGTATTCTTCCAGTAATTCCTTTAACAATTGTACTTCTTTCTCAGTCCATGATTTACCACTGCGATCTGGCAATGCCCAATTATCTGTACTAAGCGGATTTAAGTCCGGGAAAATGCTTCGATGCGAATAATAGTATTCCATACATTCTTCAATTGTTTTCTCGGGAAAGTTTTCCGCAATCTTTTTCCAATCGCTACCATGCAATTCAATAAGATTTGCCAACTTTAATATATCTTCGTCAGACCAAGCTTTAGCTGCAGTTTTTTCAGCATTGGAATTTAATGATGGGACAGGATAAGAAAAAATTTGAGAATTTTCGTTCACAAGTTGCTGTATTTCACTGGGGCTTTTGTGTTGCATTTTTTGTGAGATAAATTCCCAGTCTGAACCATATTTCTGAACTAACCCTTGCACTCGTATTATGTCCTCAAAATTCCAATCTTTATCGACTTTCATGAATACCTTTGTCATAATCTGATATTTATAAAAACACCCAGACGGTAATCTACCAGGAAGGCCTTCTGAGATCTTACGCCAATCTGTACCATATTGTGATTTTAATTCTAAAAGCTTCCTTGTTTCCTCTCCAGACCAAGGTTTTTTTATATAAAAATGTTGTTGGATTTCATAGAGATCAACCTCGTTCTCTTGTCCTTCAATGTAATAAAGTTGAGGATTTGTCCTCACATGAAATTCAATCGTTTTTATTTGCTTATGCGGAAAATAAGATTTTATTTTTTTCCAATTTCGACCATGTTTTTTCACTAGGTCTTTCAAAAGAGATATTTCTTGATCTTTCCATCCTCGTGTAAGAGTTGTGTTGCGTACATGGCGATTCATAGGTGAAATGCCAGGTAAAAGAATTGGGATTATTTGCCATTTTCCATATTTTGATATTAAGAGGTCTAAAAGCTGAACCGCCTCTTGTGGCCAACTGTGTTTTACCAATTCTGTTTTATTTAATGACGGTTGCCAACAAGAATGATATTTTTCTTTACATGCATATGCAGTTCTCCCAGGCAACCTGCTTGATATTAAAGACCAATCATTACCATATTGCTCAACAAGATCGTTTAATAAACGTGTCTCACGTTCTGACCACGGACTCGAGATCTTGAACCACTTTGAGATTTTCACGTTATGAAATGTTGGTAGTCTCTGCGGATGATGTGGCAATAACAGAGACACGGATCCTGATAATCTACTTGATATTCTTTGTGAAATTGAATTACTATTGGAGCAATATCTCTTAAATAAATTATCAAGCAACTTCATTTCGCTATCAGACCATGATTTAGTTTTATTTGATTTATCTGAAAATGTTAATAGTGAAGGAAACCTATTTAAATTTTCATATACAAATGTTTCTATTGACTCTGGCGTCTTCGACGGGAATTGACTCGAAATCAACGACCATCTACAACCATATTTTTCGAGTAAACCGTCTATAAGTTTACACTCTTCTTCGGAGAAAGTTTTTTTGGAGTCAGCTTTAGTGTATTTTGTCTGTATGTTTTCTACTTCGCGATAGTATAAAGGCAGGGAATAATATTGAATACAACATTCGCCAGCCTTTCTACCAGGCATGTGTTTGGCGATTTTCTCCCAATCTTGACCATGTTTTTTAACAAGAGTTTCTAAAACTTTTAATTCTAACCGTGACCAGGGACGTAATAAGTTTCGTAGCACTTTCATTTGTCACTGTTAAAAAAGTTTTAGTCCACAATATTTTAACAAGAATAAATGTTCCAAGTCACTTAAACATCTTAAACATCAAATGCGCCAAATTTAGCATGGGAAAAACACGGGCTTTGTCATATGATAATTAACCAATCAAAACCGCTTTATCAACACATGATCAAAAACAGATAGATAATCGTTGAACGAAGGCAGCCAATCAACATTTTAGGTAGCGTTCTTGTTCATCCCCAGAATTTAAGATCAGCCGTCAAAACAAACGTGTTTTGTAAAAAAGCTACGCGCAAAATGAAACCAAGAAAACCGTATTATAATTAGGGTTAGGATTAGAATAATATAATGCTTATTAGTAAAACATCACGAGGAACATTTTTAATTAGGCCGCAGAAGGTGGTTTCCTAAGAAAATGGGTTCGTTTCGATTTTTACGTTACACCTGATTCTGAAATTCGATTGGTCAAAATTACAGGGGGTGAACAATTTTTTGTGGGAGAGCTAGGGGCGTCCCAATCAACGGGCATGACTCGTATATACGATTTCGTTCATAATTTAGCTTTTGAATAACTCGCGTTGTAAAGAAATCAGACTATTCATCCACATTATAACAATTTTACAATTGTAAAAACTCATTTA